AAATCAAAAAAGTTAATTTTAAAAGAAAAAGTACCTCAATTCTTCACACATGCCAGGGTTTATAGGAACAGTACCTTGATCAGAAAATTATTAGTTTAATTCTACTAAAGAACCATGAAGTTTCTAATAATTTTAAAATTTAATTGAAAGCAAAGTGTATTTTATAGTTGAGAAAGACCAGCTTAAAATTCAAGTGAATGTGTATTAACCAATGTACCAGAAGAAGAAAATTAGCTTCAGATTTCTACTGACTAGTACCCACTTAGATTCTAAGTCAGAAACTGGCTCACTAGACACTAAATCTGCAGATGAAACTAAATTGGGAGGTGTTGCAAGCACCAAAAACAGTTAAGTGCAAATAGTCACATTAAAAATGAGATTCCAGCTAGAAAAAAATGCAAATATATACAGAGAAAAACAATCTGTAGCTGACAATTCAGTAAGTGAAAGAACGTCTGGAAAATCCTGGAGGGTAAAAGAGGACAGGTGCCAGGAGAGGCTAGCTGCAAGAGTGAAAATGGGGAGCATCAGGAAGAAAGAATCAATTCAACCACGAAAATAACATTAACCCCACAGAGGCAGAAAAGTAAAATCGGATATGAGGAGACAAAAACCAGGAAATGGGAAACTCCCCAGAAAAGGGAAGAGATGCTACAGGAGATCTGGGCTATTCCCAAAGACTTGATTTGCTTGTTGGCAAAACGAACAATCACACCCAATTTCTCCTTTCTGGGACATGATCAGGAGAGACACTATAACTTTTTTGAAAAAGCATAGATCTCCTTCATCTACTTAATGGTGGAACAAATATTTTCTGGTAGCAACCAGCTCTTATTAGACCAATTAGACCTACGACAGCACTTCACAACTCACAGGCTCAAAATACTGATTGAAGGCACATTTATACAGGATCTTTCCCTTGCTAGTACAGGGATCAAATATTTAATATTATCTACCTCTGAGGAGCTCAAAGTGTTTAGATTTTAATTCATCCATCATGATACTATGACATTAGGAAGGAGGAAATGACCACTTTATAGATGAGAAAAATAAGACCCAAAAAGCCAAATGGGTGCAGAATAAATGCGTCTGTCTGCAAGGGAAAAAGCAACACTAAGGACTAAGTCAATTTAGTGGTGAAATTTTTCCTTCCAAACACTTGATCGCCAGCCAGTGTTCGATGTCATCAAATGGGCTGAACTTACTTAATACACATATTTTGATTGTTACTTGCCCCCATATTTAAGAACAATGTTAATACTATTAAACCAAATGATAATTCCAATCAGGTATTTCAGTCTCGCCAAAA